AGATACAAAGCCCAGAGATAAACCCTCACACCTATGGTCAACTAATCTATGACAAAGAAGGCAAGGATATACAATGGAGAAAAGACAGTCTCTTCAATAAGTGGTGCTGGGAAAACTGGACAGCTACATGTAAAAGAATGAAATTAGAACACTCCCTAACACCATACACAAAAATAAACTAAAATGGATTAGAGACCTAAATATAACACCGGACACTATAAAACGCTTAGAGGAAAACATAGGAAGAGCACTCTTTGACATAAATCACAGCAAGATCTTCTTTGATCCTCCTCCTAGAGTAATGGAAATAAAAACAAAAATGAACAAATGGGACCTAAGGAAACTACAAACCAGACAAAAAGTAAACCGTAAGAATGGGAGAAAATATTTGCAAATGAATCAACGGACAAAGGATTAATCTCCAAAATACATAAACAGCTCATGCAGCTCAATATTAAAAAAACAAACCACCCAATCCAAAAATGGGCAGAAGACCTAAATAGACATTTCTCCAAAGAAGACATACAGGTGGCCAAGAAGCATGTGAGAAGCTGCTTAACATCACTAATTATTAGAGAAATGCAAATCAAAACTACACTGAGGTATCACCTCACACCTGTTAGAATGGGCATCATCAGAAAATCTACAAACAGCAAATGCTGGAGAGGGTGTGGAGAAAAGGGAACCCTCTTGCACTGTTGGTGGGAATGTAAATTGATACAGCCACTGTGGAGAACAGTATGGAGGTTCCTTAAAAAACTAAAAATACAACTACCATATGACCCAGCAATCCCACTACTGGGCATACCCTGAGAAAACCATAATTCAAAAAGGCACATGCACCCCAATGTTCACTGCAGCACTATTTACAACAGCCAGGATGTGGAAGCAACCTAAATGCCCATCAACAGAGAAATGGATAAAGAAGATGTGGTACATATATAGAATGGAATATTACTCAGCCATAAAAAGGAACGAAATTGAGTCATTTGTAGAGATATGGATGAATCTAGAGACTTTCATACAGAGTGAAGTAAGTCAGAAAGAGAAAAACAAATATCATACATTAATGCATATATGTGGAACCAAGAAAAATGGTGCAGATGAAGCAGTTTGCACAGCAGAATTTGAGACACGGATGTAGAGAACAAACGTATGGACACTAAGGGGGGAAACTGGCGGTGGGGGGGGGGCTGGTGTGATGAATTGGGAGATTGGGACTGACATGTATTCACTGATATGTATAAAATGGATAAGAACCTGCTGTATGAAAAAATTAATAAAATTCAAAAAAAAAAGAAACCTAGTACTTGGTTTTAGGCAAAAAAAATCAAGGGAAGTGAGAAAGAAGGCAAATATATCCTCACCTTTTTACTGACCGAAGTTTCACGCTGTTCATGTCTTTAAGGATCTCCAGCATATTTGGCATATCAGATTTCTTTGGACTGCTCTTGACTGAAGTCTTTCCAGCACAGGCGTTTTTCTCTCTTCGATCTCTAATCAGATCAATAGCAGATGCGCTTTTGTGGAGCCCTGACAGAGGGAGGGGAGGTGGCGGAGGGGGAGCTGGTGGGACACAGGGTGGCGCTGGGGCAACGGATGCCGTAGATTCTAAGTCACCTACAGAAACAAGGGAAAGTCATTTTGATCCTGCTGGTAATAGGCAAATAAACTATTTTAAAAGCAACATTATGTTAAGGACTTTATATCTGAAAACAGTATCCTTAAAAAGAATCAAAGTTACGTAAGTAGAAAGGAAGTTTCAGTTACTTGGTTGGAATCTAAATGCCTGCATCTCAGTCACTGTATCATTTAATCCCAAACTCTCCAGATGGAAACATTCCATTTAACTTAACAGGGCGCTTTTGTGATCTCTACTGTTCAAGTCTGACTGCTGCCAAGTGTGTAGCTACTTTTAGATGAAACAGAGCATCTGTACTGCACACATAACTATCTTCAGTATATACAGTTTGACAATTTAGTACTAGAGTTAAGTATTTGAAAAAACCATTTGATACATTCGTGGTTCTTTTGAAGTATATTTACATAGAAGATTTAATTGAGCATTAACTAGAATGTGCATTGACCAAAGTGTGTTTCAAGCTTTAGATTTATTGTTGAACAAATTTCTGGGAGGAAAAAAAAAGTTATAGTTAATTTCCAAAACAAGAAGTAACCAAGAGTTAAAGTGGTTCTAAAATACGGACCTAAAAATTCATCTTTCTGCATAATTGGAAATTACAGAGTTGTTTTGGGGGTGAACTATATTAATTAGGGGGAACTCGATGCACACGAGTTTTACTCAAGGGATTTGGATTGTAAATAGAAGTCTAACATAAAGCCCCAAATTATCTCACAATTTACAGTAGTTTTCTAGTCTGCCAGAAGAGGGAGGTAAAGCAAAAGAGAAATGTAATTCATAGGTTAAACAGAAAAGGGCAGGACTTTGGTTTTTCATAAGTTACATGCAAATTTCACTTAAGTAGCACCAGGTGCGGGGAGTGCACTCACCCTCTGCCCATCTTGGCCTGACCCAGGTTGGATGAGGTTTCCGTGTGGGGCTACATTAAACTCTAGGACCACAAGCAAAGTGGCTCAGAGGCAGAATAACTGTCCTATCCTTTAACCTTTAGAGTTGGCTTATGCTGAGTCTCGCCAGGACTCAGGGAACAACAGTTGGAAAAACCACCACTACCTACCAACAGGTTAATGGGCTAGGATTTCAAGGCTATAGTTTCTTCTCCAAAGTGACAGTGCCACACAAATAAAAGCAACAGTAGTAGTCCAGGAGTCAAAGGACCTGAATTCAGTTTCCACTCTGGGCAAGAGGGAGAAAAATGACTACTGAATATCTACTATGTGCTGAAGGTATTGTATATAATCTCCACGTTTACTCCCTACCATAGGTAACTACTATCCCCATTTTAGAGCAGGAAAGGGAGGTAGAAAGGCCAAGTACTTGCCTCAGGACATGTAGGTCAGTAAACAGCACTCAACCCTGTCAGGGTTGTTTTTTGCGATTACCTCCTGTCTGATGTGAATTGTGCCATTATCACAGACAACTAAGTTTACCACAGCATTCACTAGTGGCAAGTCAACTGTTGTCAATGTATGTATATGTTGTGTTTTCAAAATACACTCACCATCCTCTCTGACGGCATTAAGACTGTTCAAAACAAACAGAAACTACTTAACCTTGACTGGGTCCTGTACTGGACAATGCAGAGGACTGACCCCTGATTTTCCAACGAGCCCAATGGCTGTTACTTTTTTTTTAACTTTTATTGTAATATAGCTGATTTACAATGTTGTGTTAGTTTCAGGTGTACAGCAAAGTGATTCAGTTACACTTCTATATATACATTTCTTTTTTCTTTTCAAATTAGTGGCATTCTCCTAATTTCCAGTTTGCTGGTTAAAACAAATGTAGGACTTGCAGACCTGCACTGAGGTTTTGCTGTTCCTGGAGGGTCACAATTTTGGCAATCTGAGCTCTGAGGGCAGCAAGCTCACTTTCGAGGGCACAGATCTTCTGCAGTGCTTCCTCGTTGGCCAGTGTCATGGTCTGCAGTGGAGGCTCTTCCGGAGACAGGTTTGGTAAGGAAAACTGCCGGCCTAGGGGCCTCTCGAAGAAAGGAAGATCATCCTGAAGGGGTTGCCTTTTCCGGATCTCTGTCCTTCAAGGAAGACAGAAGGTTGGCTGTCACACAGGCTTTGTTAGGGAATGTAAAAAATCATCATTTCAAAGTCAATCAGAACACAGCAGAACATAACATCTGAGAACCATTTTTCAGGCTGACCTTACATAAAACCCCTGCTGTAAGTTTCAAAACAACAAAGCACTTATCAACCTGATGTAGATACACACCACACCAGGTTTCTTGTTGGCATCATTCTTCTTAATCTTTATCTCTACGTTATATGCACAAGCCAACACTATCCGGAGGAATCACAGATTCCAACAATGTTTTTGCTAATTCATGTTTTGTTTTGGTGGTTTGAACTAAGGTGATGCAACTTTTAATGCTGTTAAAAATGGTAAACTGGGACTTCGCTGGTGGTGCAGTGGATAAGACTCCACGCTCCCAATGAAGGGGGCCCGGGTTCGATCCCTGGTCAGGGAACTAGAGCCCACATGCATGCTGCAACTAAGAGTTCGCATGCCACAACTAAGGAGCCCAGAGCCACAACTACGACCCAGTGCAATCAAATAAATATTTTTTTTAAAAAAAGGTAAACTAGGGCTTCCCTGGTGGCGCAGTGGTTGAGAGTCCGCCTGCCGATGCAGGGGACACGGGTTCGTGCCCCCGGTCCAGGAAGATTCCACATGCCGCGGAGCGGCTGGGCCTGTGAGCCATGGCCACTGAGCCTGTGTGTCCGGAGTCTGTGCTCCGCAGTGGGAGAGGCCACAACAGTGAGAGGCCCGCGTACCACAAAAAAAAATAATAAATAAAATAAATAAATAAAGGTAAACTAATTATTGGCTATATTTGACAATCAAATCAAATCAGTAATCCATTAGCCCTTCCCCAGGGTCTTGGTTTCTGCATTTCGATGTCCGTGTTTTCCACTTGTGATAGAATACACCAAACTGCAAGACACACTGTAACAATATGGGCCAAATTACAGCATAAGAAACTGAAAAGGGGGAAAAAGTAATTACAATTGAACCCATGCAGTAATTATACAGATGGTCTCATTTTCACTTGAGCGTAAAGAAAGGTTTTCTAATATGCACTGCTTCGTAGGTTGAGAATAAAATTCAGATTTCAACTGTCAATTTATATATTTATCCATTTCCTCCTATTTTCTACAGTTAGGTTTTTCCAGCCTCTAAGCCCTTTTTTTCTTCATCCAGCTTTATTGTGGAATAACTGACAAATATTGTGTGTGTGTGTGTGTGTATATATACACACACACACATAGTACAGCATGATGATTTGTTAATGTGTATACATTTTGAAATAATCACCACAATCAAGTTAATTAACGTATGCCAGTTCCCCTCACAGTCTCACGTGGTCATGTGACGGAGCTGTGTCTAACAAGATGGTGAGCCACTTCGGAAGGCTGCTTAGAGGGCAGTGACTCAACTCTACAAGAAAGAAAGTCCTTTCATCTCTAGCCCTACCCACTTTTCCTGCTTCTGAGAGCCTTGAGAGTCGCTGAAGGACAGAAGCTAACCTTGACAGTAAAGCCAAAGCTAAGGATGGCAAAGAACCTGGCTGGTCCCTGAGGACACAGTGGAGCCACTGTCAGCTTCAGACTATCCACTCTGGATGTTTTTGACTTGAGAAAAATTTCCATCACCATTATTTTGGGCTTCTGTTTGATGTAGTCAAACTCAGACTGACTGTTGTAACATTCACCAACATTATACTGTATTTCAGTTTTCCTTTAACTGAACACTGCTATTTTAGTTTTGCTTGAGAGCTATGATAACTCATTCTACCTAGTGTCTGAATGAATGAATTCTTGGACCTTCAGCTTTTGGTATTTTGCACTGAATTCAGTTGTTTTTCTTCATATCTAATTTTGATTATGCCCTGTTAATTAAACTGTCATACACAGAGGCTGCTTGCAAATTGTTTTTTACCTGTAGTATTAATTATTAAACAAAAATATTTGGAGAATAAATGTCCTCGTTATTACCTAACTAGCAACCAACTTTAATAATACTAACCTCATTCACTTTATTTAATTTAGAATATCTGTGGGGTAGGGAAATATATTGGGCTTGCAAAGCTTTAATTACCATTTCCTTTCTTACCCCACACGGGGAAGAAACAGGTGATGAAATGTCTAAAAAAAGTACATAACGATTAAACAAAGGCAAAAACTTTTATAAGAAACAATACCAATGCTCTGATTAAATACATTAATATGTTCTCTGAAAGATTATATGTTATATAAGTTCAGATTAGAGCATGTGCTCTAATCAACCTGCAATAAAGAAAGTAATTTTAATAAGACATTAAATTTTTTTTAAATCACTATGGCTTTTTGTTAATATAACACTGAATTTTGATTTCTACTTACCTTTCATAGGGTAGGTCAAATAATTTCGTTAAACGTCTCTATACGATAAACACGTTAAATTACAAGAAGACAGAAATTAGTCTACTGAATGAAGTTTTTTTGGGGGGGATACTTACATAGTTATTTAATCAGTATAATGTCAAATATTTAATATGGTTCCTCAACTATATTCTTGACAACTGTCTAATAAAACATATTAAAACACTACTTTTAAAATAGTGTTTTAAAATACTATTTTAAAAATATTACGTTTTGAAAGAACTAAGGAAACCACTGGTAGATAGGATACTGGCAGAGACAGAATTCTAGTCCTGAGGAAAGATCTGGGTAAAATATAGAAATCTCAAATAAATGTACAGTTAAAGTATCACACTTGTTCGAAGCAACAGTGGAGAAAGGAGGAAGACTACTAGTAGGAACGGAGACGGCGGGTCTCGAGCAGGGGATGATCAGAAGCAGAGAGTTCTCAAGACAGGGGACAGGCGCCCTGCCACAGGCAGCCGGGTGGAGCACCTGGAGGGTGACAACTGGATGGAAGTGCAGCCGAGCAGAGAAGCACGAGAGCCTGGAGGTAAAGACGCACCTCTACCCCCTACCGTCTCCCATTTTCCATGAAAGTTGGATTTTGCTTTGTTTATCTGAACTTACCTAAGAGAATGAATATTTTATTGGGAACATATTTTCATATTATGTATGAGTGCAGAGGTTTCATAAACTATATAACAGCAAATAAAGATAAATTTTATTTATTTTTTATTTTTTTGCGGTACACGGGCTTCTCACCGCTGTGGCCTCTCCCGTTGCGGAGCACAGGCTCCGGACGCGCAGGCTCAGCGGCCATGGCTCACGGGCCCAGCCACTCCGCGGCATGTGGGATCTTCCCAGACCGGGGCATGAACCCGTGTCACCTGCATCGGCAGGCGGACTCTCAACCACTGCGCCACCAGGGAAGCCCTAAAGATAAATTTTGAATGCCAGAATCTTTAGTGCTACTAAACAAAAAAATGATGTTATAATAACTGTTTTTTCAAGAACTCGTAGTCACTTTAGTAGTGAGTATACCCTCCCAGATCACAGGATCCAAAAGTATTATATGCTTTTACGTTTGTTTTAAAATGTTATCACTCAAGTAAGCCAATCGTCTAATCCCATGAACATTTACACTTCGATACCCAGAACTGGAACGAGATAATAGGGCGATTTGGATTAAGAGATCAACTACAAGGCATGTTTGAACAGCTTCCTTTCTTTAAGATATCTTCCAGCCAAAATACACTGTAAGAGGAAATTAACCAATACTTAACAGCAAACTACACTGTTTAAGAAAAATAAGAATTAAGCTTCTACCTCTCCCCATAACTCCTCCAGATGAATTCTATCCTTTTGTTTTTGCATCTACTGAGAATTAAGGGATAAGCACTCATTAATCTTGAAAAACAGTGTGCCAGGGTAAGAGGGAAAAAGTTTAGGACCTTTAGCAAAACGATTTAAGTGACAGTGTCAGATCATCTATATTTTATATGTCTATACTATTTTTATAACTTTGGTATAGATTCTGCATTTCCCTGCTATGGGTTGACAGCTATGGGTTCAAACAAATTATAGGAAATGTGGAAGTTTAAATGTGGATTTTTAGAAGCTGGAAAAGGAAAATAATCTTGAAATGATCATGCATTCTCAAAGACACAGAAAGATTTGACATTTACAGAAGCTTGAGAACCAAAGGCAAAAAAATAAAGAAAAAGAGTTGCTCTGTAATATTCTTATATATGGAAAAGCTTAGGTTTTATGAAAATTCTCATACATGTCCCTTCCTTTAAAACTATAAACACACACACACCCTTTTCCCACAGACATCTGTTTTATAAGGCAGTCTACAAATAACTCGTTCTCAGAACCAATCTGTTTTGCCATCCTTCAGAATACAAGGCTATTAAAGAGCTAGAATATAGAGGCAAAAGTAACCCAAACTAAGAAATGCTCTTTTCCACTAACTCTGTGTATAATTCAGAGAAATTTTAAGTAAACAAATATAAAAACAAAAAGAACAAAAGAGGCGTCAAGTACGGATGTCCCAAAAGCAGAAGACAAACAGCCAAAGTATGATCATTTCTTAAAAACACTGTCTGCCGCAGACCTACTAGAGGATGGACTTGAGGATACGGGGAGGGGGAAGGGTGAGCTGTGACAGAGAGAGAGAGAGGCTTGGACATATGTACACTACCAAACGTAAAACACATAGCTAGTGGGAAGCAGCCACATAGCACCGGGAGATCAGCTTGGTGGTTTGTGACCACCTAGAGGGGTGGGATAGGGAGGGTGGGAGGGAGACAAAAGAGGGAGGGGATATGGGGATATATGTATACGTATAGCTGATTCACTTTGTTATAAAGCAGAAACTAACACACCATTGTAAAGCAATTATACTCCAATAAAGATGTTTTTAAAAAAAAATACGGTCTGCATACTGACTTGTGCTGGCGAGACTTCTACCCTTTTTGTTTGATTTGGCTCTGAAGTGCCTATGGCACAAGGGTGCAGGCTCCCCTTCAGAGTACCATCCACACGAAGTGTCTGGCTCGCTTACCTTTTCAATGTTAGTATCAAGGGCGGCCACTCTGAAGTACAACATACACAGACACGAAGGGCTTTTTAAGCTCCACTGACTATTTTAAAGAAAATCCTCAATTAAATACAATGTACCTCTTGGATCCTTTCCCCTTACCTCACAGTTAATGAAAACTCAAAATCTGAGATTCTTTTAAATGAGCCCAGTGCCCTGTGAAAGGTGGTATTCCCCGGATGACTTTTATTGAGTCTCCCTCACTGTTTTAGTTGAGAGAATAGCTTAGAAAGGTACAGAAATACATGTTACTGTCAATAGGGTGCGGAGAAGGGAGGACAACTCGTAATGTAGTTCCCTGAAAGCACAAAGTTGGGTAGAAAGCTAACAATATTTTTCAAAGTGAGCAAATAGCTGGATAAAGACAACTGGACTAGGGAAATTATTCTGAGGGAAGTAATCCATGAAAGGGCTATAGTGGGGAATAGTCAGGACTGTCATGAGGCTGCAGACCCAGATGACTAGTGGGATTCATCGCCTATTCTAGATTCTGTTCAACACAAGTCTCGTTTTGTATTTTAAAAGCTGGATCTTGGGCTTCCCTGGTGGCGCAGTGGTTGACAGTCCGCCTGCCGATGCAGGGGACGCAGGTTCGTGCCCCGGTCCGGGAGGATCCCTCATGCCGCGGAGCGGCTGGGCCCGTGAGCCATGGCCGCTGAGCCTGCGCGTCCGGAGCCTGTGCTCCGCAACGGAGAGGCCACAACAGTGAGAGGCCCATGTACCGCAAAAAAAAAAAAAGCTGGATCTTCCTATAAGTGATATTTAGTGGCAATGACATTTCTTCCTTGAATGCAGTACTGTACTGATGTGCATTATTAGTTAATGTCTAGTGTCAAATACTTAAGATTAAAATGGGAATGAATAACATCTGCTGTTTGCTGTGCTGTGAGTAGGAAACCGTCTTGCCCTGATCCTTTGTGTCTCCTGGTGTACACTTGCACCTATGGCGCTGTGGCCAGCCAGCCTGCTTGCTTGCTGAGTCATTTCCTTTGGAGTCTTGTTACTCACTGTCATGCTCTGTGAGGTTGGGGTTCTTCCCCGACACTCCTTAAAAAACAGCACATTTCATTTTACAATTGATATCTTTAGTCAAAGCCTTCAGTCTCACTTTATTCACTATTCTTATATCAGATTTTTGTAAATACATTCATCTTAATTCATTAGATTACAAACATTCTGGTATAAGAAAAAGGGCTACCTCAAATACTTTTAAATCCTATGAACCTGTAAATTTTTATTTAATACATACTCAGTTTGATATGTACGTGGGCACTAAGAATTAAGAATTAGATACAATTAGAAATTAACATATTAATAAAGAATGAACAAAGTGGAGTTAAACTTGAAACATTTCAATATTCCTTAAATAATGTTCTACTCCAGGGAGAAAGTATGTGCAAATGATGGGACCGACAAGGGTATAATTTCCAAAATATACGAACAGCTCATAAAACTCAACAACAAAAACACAACCCAAATGAAAAATGGGCAGAAGACCTAAATAGACTTTTCTCCAAAGACGACATACAGATGGGTCAACAGGCACATGGAAAGATGTTCAACATCCCTTATTATTAAAGAAATGTGAATCAAAACTACAATGAGATACCACCTCACATCAGTCAGAATGGCCATCATTAAAAAGTCTACAAATAACGAATGCTGGAGGGACTTCCCTGGTGGCCCAGTGGTAAAGAATCTGCCTTTCAATGCAGGGGACGTGGGTTTGATCCCTGGTCAGGGAACTAAGATCCCACATGCTGCAGGGCAACAAAGCCTACGCGCCACAACTACTGAGCTTGTGCACCTCAATGGGAGAGACTGTGTGCCGCAAACTACACAGCCCATGCTCCCTGGAGCCTGCACACAACTAGAGAGAAGCCCACGTGCTGCAACTAACACCCAACATGGCCAAAAATAAATACATACATACATACATAAATAAATGCTGGAGAGGGTGTGGAGAAAAGGGGATCCTCCTGCACTGTTGGTGGGAATGTAAATTGGTGCAGCCACTACGTAAAACAGTATGGAGGTTCCTTAAAAAACTAAAAATAGAGCTGACACATGATCCAGCAATGCCACTCCTGGGCATATATCCAGAGAAAACTCTAATTCAAAAAGATACACGCACCCCTATGTTCATAGCAGCACTATTCACAATAGCCAAGACATAGAAACAGCCTAAATGCCCATCAACAGATGAATGGATAAAAAAGATGTGATATATATATACAATGGAATACTACTCAGCCATAAAAAAAGAATGAAATAATGCCATTTGCAGCAAAATGGGTGGACCTAGAGGTTATCATACTAAGTGAAGTATGTC